AAAAACCGTTCACTTTAGTTCGAACTATACCAGTGACGACTGCTCTAAGGTACGGAGGTGTGCGGCGCACACCCTAACATAATTTGCAAAATGTCAAATAATATATATAAATTTATTAAATATCTTTACATTGAAAATTAATATTATTTATCATATTTCCATATATATATTTTTAAAGATTAAAGTTTCAGAAAAAACAATTAAATATAATTGTCTATGAAAACTCAATCAATTTGCTTTCCTCAAATGCTATAGTTGTTAGTTGTGCTCATAAGTTTGCAGCTCAATTCGCAGAACACTTCTGTTATATTTCGTCTTTTCCCTTTAAGCAATTGCATTCATAAATTTCTGTCGTTAGTTGTGGTCAACAGAAAAATGAACAAAATAATGCGCGTATGCTCACGCTTGTAATATGAGAAATAGAGATTTATATAGTAGGAATTGTATGAGTAATTTTCTGTTCTATTCGAATATCAACAGAATGTATACGAATAAAACATGTTGATTTGCCGAAGCACTTAGTTGTGAGGTAAAATTTGCAGCACAAATCTCAGTACATTTTTATTACATTTCGTCTCTTCCCTTATAGCAGTAGCTCGCGCGAATTTCTTTCGTTAGGTGTGCGGAAAAGTTGGTCGCACATTCATACGTTGTAAGTGTGTTCGATTTTGTTTGATCACTGCATTAACAGGTATGGTTCTAAGTATAGTTATTATTAATGAAACATCTCATATATTTCAGTTTATCATTATTTATTTAAGCTGTACATGTAAAAACAACATTGTAGAGGGGCCGCACACCCTTCCATACAGGGCACGCATCATTACCGAACTATACGTACGTACACACAATCCTGAATTACCACCAGAAATATTGCCAATGACAGGCAGAACTTTATATTCTTCATTTTTTGCTTTAAAGAAGGTACTATTCTCTTCTATCCATTAAAACAAAGTGTGAATTTTTAGAAAGCTTTGCAGGACATCTCCAAAGTTAGTTATCAGTAGGCAAAAAGCCAAAGATATTTCATTAATTGTACATTGAAATATAGTTAAATGCTCTGCACAAGTAATATTGTGACTAAATTTAAGAAAATGAATGATGCTATAAGTACTTGCCGTAGGGTGTTGCACAAAAGAAACGTGTGATGGACGATCATTGACAAAAACGGTCACATACTAAAATTGAATTTTATTTTATTATTTATTTAGAATATTATTATTTATTTAGAATAACTGAATATATTTTGAATAACATATAAACAAAAAATAATTTTGATCTTGAATGAAATAATATTTTTTATAAATAAAAATAGTAAAATAGTAGCTGGTAGATGCAACATTTTCGTATCACTTAATTGACAATAGGAGTTTATATGTATATTCAATATCTATAACACAAACTCGTGTGTTGCCTCAAACATTTCAATTTGTTACGTTATTATAACGATTTTAGATATAATCAAGACTCTAACATAAATGTGTGAAAACTTTCAAACATTTATTTTTATTTATTTATAATTAACAATAAAAAATATAAAATTCAAATAATTGTTTGCTCCCCAGTCAAATGTATCTAATTTAGATATTTATAAGTTAAGATACGGTCACATAATTGTTTAAACATTCGAACCAGAAAACGAATCATTTCTGATTAATTTGTTACAAGTGATAAACTCGAAAATACAAAAAGAATTCACATTACAAATCAATATACTAGTTAATTATTAATTTTCTCTTCACTATTAGCAAATTAGCAAACTCACAAATGGATTTCGAATAAGTGAATGTTCGAGACAAAAACCAACTCCAGTATGTACAATAATATATAAAAACAGTTGTTTGTTATATGTGTTATGTATTTATATCCGTTGCTTGCTATTGTTCTGCGTACCATATCATGCTCAAACAGATATTGTTTGTTAAATATGTATAAATTTTTAAATGACAAATTAGCGAATGAATTTCGAATATATAAATGCTTATGCTTAGGAATGTAAGCGAGTGTAAGAAATCTGGAAGAAATTAAATAATCACTAACAAAGAAATCAAGTGAACTGTTAAATATCTCTGATTTGAACCATCTCAGCACTACCACTTAACGATCGAACAATTAATGTAAACATGTACATTAATTCGTGAAAATAACGTTGAACTTTTGAAAAATCCGTCATAAGACAAATTTATCTTGTAAATAAAACCTAACTAATTTAATTCATGCATTATGATATTGTTGTTACATTCAACTGTAGTGTGAGGGTTAATCGATATATTCAACGTAGATCATAAATAGCTCTATTACATTTCCGTGATGTATTTTCTAATGATTTTATGACAGTTGTTATGATGGATACATGCAAGTCTGATTTAAGAGTTACCCACATCATTCCACTTAAATTTATGAGGCTTCCGATAACAGTTTGTGATACTTCTACGGAATCTTTGAAGAAAATTCTTCTATTAATTGATGAGTGGCACCTTACTAATGTTGACTGTCGGCATAGTGAGGAGTTTATTAATTCTTTCTTCTCCTCTAGCAATGGCTATAAATTTCTTCAGTTATGACTCTTAATTTCGTGATATCTGCTTATTCGACAGTCCCAGGTTACAAGAAAGATGTCATTGTTTCCGATCCTATTTGGGTTAATTAATTTCCTAGTACTAAAGGGGGTAATAGTATACCATATTTGCTAAATCTTACCGTCAATGATTTACAGATGCTGATTGGTGATTGGTATTAAGTCCACGCAACCGTTAAAATAATATATTTACCTTTCCCAAACCTTATCTTGCACTAACATTATCGTTAATAAATTTTAGCTTTCTGTTAACTTGCATATTATACGTATTCATTTACTTAGTTTATTTTGTAATTAATTATTTCTAAATACGCAGTATTTACTGCGCTAATATTTTTCTATTGACTGATGTAAACAATAGCTTCTGCCTGCCGTTCGTTTAAAATTTCTTATAGTTTAGTTAAATATACCCCTCCCTCTATTGAAACTAAAACATCAACGTAAATTACTAGAGTTTACATCACAAAAGTATCTGATAGGAATGCACATTAAATATACAAAATGTAACTTCTCTCCACGTCACGTATGCTTTGAGGAGAACGCCACCATATAGAATGGGAAATTAGCACATTTTTTGTAAAGTATGAATGTATCTACAAGTATACTCGAATTTGCGAATAATTTTTAAATGAAAATATTGTGCACAAATATAAACAAATACCTGCCTAACCATGTAAACAAACAGTATATGCTTTATATTAGATTTCAGTACTTCTGAAAGTAACGTGTTTATTTAATTATTAAATTAACTGAACTTAACTCAATTCGAGCGCTCCAACAACAACAACTTACAAACAACAACCACCACAATAACAACGACAGCAATGGAAGCAAAATTTATTGATAATGCATGATAATCCATAGAACCGCATGCCGGTTTTTACGTACTTTTGTGGTGCAAATAAGTGCAGTGAGAAAAATATTTTTAGAATGTTCTCGTAGAAATGCAAAAGAATCTCATTATTTGCTCTCTTTGACGTGTGGAACTCTATCCAACATTTACAGAATATACATATGTGCAATCTTAAAAGGAGTATTCAAAATGTAAATTGCTTCGGTCGACCGATTGTTGTTTTACGCTACGAAGTGTATGCTTGTAAAAAGTTTATGCAAAGATTTTCTAACCAATTCTTCACATTTTATTTTTTATTCTTTCTTACTATTCTCTGACATTTTTGATAGCACTTTGAATGGTATCTGGCACTTTAAGTTTTCTTTATTTTAATGTATATATTTAAATTAACCACTCCTCCCCCCCACTCAACACTTCACTCATACATATAATCAATGTTTATATATAGAGGGAGGATAGTTGGTCCTATCTTCTGCACTAAAAAAAGGAAAAATAATTTCTGAAGACAGGCAAAGAAATAAAAATAGATACGTTACGCGTTCCCAACGGAGCGAAGCACTGAGATCGGGCAGGTATTTTGTTCTATTGAACGCACTTAGTTTTGAACAGTAAAACTTTTGTTTTTCTATAAATTTTACTGTTAGTACTACATATAAACATAGTTAGTGCTGTGCTAAAAATAGTATTAACAACAAACCAATATTATCCTAAGGAATATTGAATCTGTAGTTGTTTCGTAATGTAGTGTAATCGTAATGCAGGTACCCATATAATTAGGAAGCAAATCATTTTTAAATTAATTGTAATAATTAAATATTCAAAAAAAAATTTAGTAATATGCTATATTTTACCTTCAAATACGAGTTATTGGTTTCGTTCAGTTTAGCATTTGAAAAACTGCATTTCATTTATTTGAAACTAAAGCCATTAAACTAATTTCAGTAATTTGAAATTATTAGAGGTTTTGACTGATTTCTAATTACTGCTTATTCGCTAATTTAGTATCTCGGTTCTTGTGTAATTTGGATTTCCTCTAAGTTCTTCTGAATAGTTTAGTCAATCCATTAATATACTACATTCTGCTCATATATAAAGATACAATAATACAATATATACCATATATAAACTCACAGAACAAGTGATGAGTTCTACTGATATACTGATACTAAGCTTAACATACATTACCGGAGTGTAGCGCACGTAAGGAGGGGAAAACCATGAATTCAGTTGCGTTTAGTGAATTTATCAAAGTCGTGGCGCCTCATTCGTTTGGGAGCGTTTAACTGCGTACAACGTTGAGTTTGATTACGGCGGACGACAGTGAAAATTATTTTCAGTGAGATATTTTTTTTCTTTTTTAGAATTATTTCGCTATAAATAGACTCTGTTGAAAATATGCGCAGATGAAGTGAAAATATTTGCTAAAAAATAATAAAAATATGATTTTATCTTTCATAAGAAATTAAGAATTAAGCTTTTTTTATTCTTTCCTAATTTTACTAATTTTAGTAATTTTTAAAAAATTCATTTTAATTGAAGTAAATTGGAAAACTTTAATTTTCTTTGCAGGTATTAAAACGATTAAATATCAAATAAATTGCAAGTTTAAACATTTTGACGTGAAACGCGACTGATTGACAATATAAAAAATATTTAAAATATTAAAATAACTTGACCCACATATTAATTTGTTTTAAACGAATTTAGTGCATTTATTAGCGCAATTAACATAATAATTTGTGTTTAAGTGTCAAAAATTTTATATTTGTCAATTTTTTTAAGTGTTTGTAGTATTAAAAATTTCCAGCTATAAAGAATTATACATATACATAAAATATTGTGTTTTACATAAACTTAAGAGAAAAATTTTTCAAAGACGTTAAGTAATTCATATAATGGCCCCAATAACCATTGACAATATCGAATCAGAATGTGAATTTGTTGCTAATTCCAACAATAACGCCAGCAATTTTAGTGAAAACGGTGATTTTATTGAAGAAGTGAACGACATTGTCGTTGAGAACGAGGACTCCATAAATGGTATTGAGTTCAATCAAGCTATAGGTAACAGTCAGCAGCAACAATTGCAACAGACCAAGGACGAAAAGCAGCAATTTCTTGAAAATGATGCCGGTACAACAGCTGAGAAGTGTCAGAACCAGAAACTCTTCAATAACCACAAGCAAATGCCATGGGAAGGACCTAAGGCTCAAGGACTTTATGATCCGCAAAATGAGCATGAAGCTTGCGGTGTCGGGTTCATTGTTGCCGTCGATGGCAAACGGTCTCACAAGGTAACAAAATATTTTAATATAAGAAAACGACCAAATTCTACAATTTTCTCCAAATTTTTTTTTTTGTGATAAAACAAAACAATAATTTTAAATTATGGATGGAAACGCAGGATGTTTCCCGTGCAAAGTGATAAAATATCGAATAAAGATAAATAAATATCGAAAGTGATTCTTTTGTCTAAGAAACAACATAGAAAATCATGCGTTAGGAAAGGGATCATTTTCCATATTTATTTTATATATTTAATATATAAATTATTTATTTATATTTTGATCCATTTAAAAGAATTTAATTTCCTGTACAATATGTTCCTTTATTTCAATGAATTCGGAATTTATAATATATCAAAATTATTTATTTTTATTATTATTATTATTATTATTATTATTATTATTATTATTATTATTATTATTATTATTATTATTTATTTTTTGATCTATTCTACGGAAAAGCACATTTGATTTTTCATATAACAATAAAAATTAAAAGATATTTAGGTTGGATTTCACAACCCTAACTAAGTGTCAATAGCATTTGAGGTCATGGTTAAGTCATCGACTTTACTGACTTAATTCCTACTTACGTTTGGAGAATTAAGTTATGACTATAAAATCGACCCTTATTCTACTGAAAATAGGTCTATGATCTAAAATATTTAAATGAATCCTTTTTGAAATATTGGGAATGCTTTAGCAGAAGGTTTTTATTTGGGAGTGATTTTTTTTGACACGTCTTGCTTCTATACAATTTTTTTTTTAATTCTTAGACTCGACTATCAAAATGTTAGATTTCATATTTATCGTATTTATATAACTTTGTTAAGAAACATTCACCAAATTTTGTCAAACTTACGGATTTTATGATGGTATTATAATAAAATATTGTTAGGTGATATAGAGAGGATACAGGCTTACGTTTATTTAGTTATATTATTGAAACTGATGAGCAACATAATAAACATTTAGAAATGAAATAGTGGAACACACAATGGTTGTTTTTCCTGTTATATTAAAGTGTCTATCAGTATTTTTATATAGTATTCTTTATTCGTTTTTATTTTTATGACTTAATATGTAACCCCAAATGAAATAATTTAACAAAACATGTTTAAATTACTTTTATAAATTGTAATAATAGTATTATTATTCCCATTCAGATAACGTAATTGTAAAAGTAAACTTCAATTTTGCAATTATGTAATGAAAATATAACTCATAGTATACACAATAGTGCTTTGCTTTTGATTATATTTTTTAGTTTTATTTAATGATGTGTGAAATATTCAAGCATTTTTAACTATACAACCACATTTCTATAAAAAATAAAAACAATATCCATTACTGTGCCTGATCATCGAGCTGTAAAAAAAATTAAGCTACAAGACTTCACATATTAAAGCATTGTCCAATTCAGTTAACATATTATAGTTTCAGTTCTATGTTTTTAAATATTAAATAAAGATTCCAAGTTTTAAAATTGAAATTGTTTATAAAGATTTCCTATATTTTTTTAACTTCTCTTCCTTTTTTCTTTTAGTGCTTCTAGTTGGCACTTTTTATTATTATTCTACTTTATTGGTATATTTTATTATTCTATTAAATAGTGTTGAAAACTCTTCTTCTACTTGCATCAAGTAACATTTGTTTATGTCAGTCCTTGCATTAAAAAATATATATATCTCCTTATTTTAATGGCATTTATTTCCCTTCTATTTTTTTCTTCTTTTCTTTATTGATGCTACTGATGTACAGAATCTTCAATAGTATCAACAAAAATGTGATATTTGTAGTGTTAAAATTTTCACATAATTAATTGAGTTTAGTTTTTGACCAATTTATACTTTACTTTATATAAACTTGTAACCATTTTCAATATAACATATTATTATTATTTTTATAATTACCACTTTATTAAATTTACTTAAGGATTATTTCTTATATTCTTCAAACCATTTTAAGAGCTATGAATTTATACAATTGTTTTAATAAGTTGGCGTCAAATTAAAATTTTTAATTTTTTAAGAAATCAAACTGAATTAAAATCAAATGTTCTATTTTTTTTGAATGTATTTTTCTATATTTCAAATATGTCTCAATGATATTACAAAATAATCAATCAATTATAAATCAATTACTTATTTTTGTGATATATAGTTCTTATATTTATTATACAGCTGACTAATATATTGTTTTATCTATTTTTCCGTTAAATCACCATCTATCTAATCATGTAATAATTTATAATTTAATATCGTATATATTTTAAAAATGTTTTAAGACTATACCTTGAGATAAAAGAAGTCTAACACACTTGTTCTTTTATATTTCAGATTCTTCGTGATGCCCAGACCTTGTCAGAACGGATGAATCACCGTGGTGCATGCGCCTGCGATAATGACACCGGCGATGGCGCTGGTGTACTGGCTTCTATACCTCATGGACTCTATGCAAAAGCTCTGTAAGTAATAGAAGTAGAAAATAAAGATCTAAAAAGTTTCCACTTTTTGTTGATGAAAGCAAATTTTTTGGCAGATATTCAGAAATGAGGTAGCAAAACAAATAACAGAGAGTAGATGAATTTTGTTGTCGTGGTTATTGTTGTTATTTGCAGTGTATATCACGCACACACAAAACAAATGTGTTAACTAAAAAAAAAATAATTTTTTATATATTTGGCTTTACTTTATTACATCATAAAAATAAATGAAAAATTTCTGATTTTCACGAATTTTCACGAATTTTCACAGTTAACCTTGAAAAGCATATAAAAACCAATTAGAGTAGCAATTGAAACCAAAAATAGATCGTCAAGTTGTATAGTCAACAAACGTCTTTCCCTTCCGTACCTGTTGGCGCACTTCTTACTTTTATAACTTTTATTTTTTATTTGTTAATTATTTAAATTAACATACAATGAGTTGTTAATTTGTTGCTGTTAACAGTTTGTAAAAAATAATAAATTAAAAATAATTTTTATTTATTTGATTTGAAAACACGATTTATTTATTGCAAGTCCAGTAAATTACTTTATTTTCCAGTTATTTATAATTATTATATTTACATCCATACATATTTACACATACTTACATTTCTCGAAACACAGTTTTCAATGTCAAACATCAAATTTTTAAAAATTTGGGTTAATTAATAATCTATAATATGTTTTCTATATTATTATTTATCTATAATAAAAAATCTATGAGTACATGGGCTACGTTTGTTTAGGATAAGGGATCGATGAGAGATAATTGAGTTTAAATTGAAATTAGCCGGATTTAAGGTGGAGAAACCTAAACATTTCAATTTAACGCCTCCAAAGAACAATGGGCCCTTTACATTCTTATATATCATTTTAACAGTTCTAAGTACTATTTCAGTTTACTAAACCGAAAAATATATTGAAAATCCAAGTTCTCTGAATTAGATTTAATCACTCGCTTTTAAAGGATTATCAACTGTAGATGTAACTATCAATATATTCATATAAGAAATAGATAAGTACCGTCTGAACATTTTATTTACTTTTTTAAAATATAAAATTTTTCGATAAATTTAAGATGCTTTTATCAGATTTTGAGATCATTTATGAGATTTTTTATGATCATTTATAACATAAAGTAAATAACTAAAAAACATATTTATGTATAAGGTTTTGACAGTAATGTGTCGTATATTGTAGCATATATGGTATGTAAACTAATTTTTACATTAATTAGTTTATCATCAATTATTTAACGTACTAGTAAATTTACCCACTCTGTAGAAATGCTAAATACTAACACTAACGCTATTTGTTGAAAATCGGCTTAGCACCGTTCGTATCTATCTATCTATGCTTATCGGAATATTATCGGAATATTTTACTGTGCATTACTCAGAAGTACACTACAACACAGATTTAGTTGTTATTATAAGTTGTTTAGTTGTTTAATTAATTACGTTAATTATTTTATTATTACGAAAGCGCAATGACTGCAATTAAAATATATTATAAATAATCACTGCAATCGGCTTCTACGCAAGCAGAAAAGTTGCTTGGCAACCCCTGACAAGTTCAAGGAACACATTAAAGTGATACGTTCTGCCAGATCAATGTACGAGCACTTGTAGCTTGTAATTACCCATACCCATACCCATACCCATATGACCCATTTGTTTAGCACTTAAACAGACGACTTATCAGCCACGCTTCTGCTCCGAACCCGCAAAAGATCTATTAATAAATTTAAATTATTCAAATGGCGCTTCCTAAATTGTTCGCGCCAAGCATTTGCCATTTCATCACAAAACAGCTGTGAACGACATCGTTTCCTTGGCAGAGTAACACATTTTCAGCTCTTAATAGACTGCATCGCGTGCCCACAGTCGAGTGCGCCATAATTTAGCAAATATTAGAGCATAAATTATATTACTTGACGTATCTGCTATCTGCTATCTGCTGCTGGCGTTTTTAATCACACGAGTGTGGCCTCATACGCCTGCACTGAGAGTTTAATTGTCAGAAAACAATCATTTCAGATTTTTTAAATAATTTAATTAATTACTTAACACAAATTTGTTAGATTTTATATTTTATTTTCAATCTTAATTTGATGAATTATTTTATTTCAGGGCTTCGCAAGGTGTGTCGTTGCCCAATCTTGGTGATTATGCTACTGGAATTTTTTATTTGGATGAGCAAACACATGCTCAAGCAGAAACTGAATTCAATGCATTGGCAAAGAGTCTTGGTATGGATATTATTGCATGGCGCACTGTTCCGACAAACGTGGATGCTATTGGTAGAGTAGCTCGCAAATCTGAACCGCTCTCTCGGCAAGTTTTTGTTAAACGCCCTACTCACATGGATGAGAAAAGTTTCGAACGTCAAGTCTTTGTGCTGCGAAAACGTGCGAGTCATGAACTAACGCAAGAAGAACGTCGCTTTTATATATGTTCCTTGTCGTCAAAGACTATGGTATACAAAGGCCTTTTTACTTCTGATCAACTATGGGATTACTATACAGATCTAAAAAATCCTGATTTTGACACTTATTTAGCACTGGTACACACACGGTTCTCTACTAACACTTTTCCCTCTTGGGAACGTGCTCATCCTCTCCGTGTGCTGGCACATAATGGTGAAATAAACACCCTACGTGGAAATGTAAATCTAATGAAAGCACGTGAAGGTGTTATGGAAAGTGAGATTTTTGGTACACAGTTGAAAAAGTTGTATCCGGTTGTTGAGCCTAACCTTTCTGATTCTGGTTCGTTTGATTGCGTTTTGGAATTCTTAACAATGGCAAGTGAGCGTTCATTGCCTGAATCAGTAATGACAATGGTACCAGAAGCTTGGCAAAATGATAAAACTATGACACAGGAGAAACGTGACTTTTATCATTGGGCTGCGTGTGTCATGGAACCGTGGGATGGTCCAGCTTTGATTTCATTTACTGACGGTCGTTACATTGGTGCAGTACTTGATAGAAATGGTCTACGTCCATCACGTTTCTATGTAACAAATGACAATGTTTTAGTAATGGCATCTGAAGTTGGAGTCTATGATATTGATCCATCAAAAGTTATACTAAAAAGTCGGTTGAAGCCTGGACGTATGCTTTTAGTTGATACTCAAGAAAAAAAATTTATACAAGACATTGAACTTAAGTCTTTCATAGCCAGATCACGTCCACATTCGGAATGGTTACAACAACAGGTAAATTTATGCTTATTAATTTTTATACATCAAAAAAGTTTTTTGTGTGTAATGTTTCATATTATTAACATGTCTTCAAATTTTTATTTGGAAATTTAGATGGTAAGTGTTAAAACTCAAACTGAAAAAAAAAATTCAAGAAATAACTGAAAATTATTACGAAAACAAAAGAATTAATAAAATCAAGTGAGAGTTAATTATATTCTAGAAGAAAAATGTACCATATAGTTTTTGTTAGTTCTTTAACCATGATATATTACTATTTTTAATTTAGATAACTCTCGATGAAATACGAAACGCCAATGTCTTAAATTCAAAAGCCGCAAATGATATCGCTGATACCATGAAAGATCCTTCAAAATCTGGTATTTTTGATTCTCGCTTATCGTTATTTGGATATACGACAGAAACAGTTAACATGCTATTGGTTCCAATGTTTAAAAATAAGTGAGTAAATTGAATAATAACTTTTTTTAGAAAACTTGTCTTATCACTTTTTTCTTTTTCTTTTAAATTTCAGAAAAGAAGCATTAGGTTCTATGGGTAATGATGCGCCTTTAGCATGTCTTTCAACATTCCAACCTATACCGTATGAATATTTTAAACAACTTTTTGCTCAAGTAACAAATCCTCCTATCGATCCATTCCGTGAGAAAGTTGTCATGTCCATGCAATGTCCAATCGGACCTGAAGCCAATTTGTTGAAACCTTCTGCAAAGCAAGTTCATCGCATTTGGCTAACAAATCCGATACTGAGCATTCCAGACACAAATCTCTTAAAACGTAATACTCACCGTGGTTGGAAAACTAAAGTTTTGGATATTACATTCCAGTTCACAGAGGGTGTTAGGGGTTATATTGATTGCATTGAAAGAATATGCCGTGAAGGCGCTTCAGCTGCCCAAACAGGATATCAACTGTTGATCATATCGGATCGAAATATTGGCTCAGGCAGAGCACCGGTATCTGCTTTGTTGGCTTTAGGCGCTTTACATCACCATTTAATTGAAACTTTACATCGTATGAAAGTTGGAATTATTGTTGAAACTGCTGAAGCACGTGAAGTTCATCATGTTTGTGTTCTGCTTGGCTACGGTGCAGATGCAATATGTCCCTATTTAGCATTTGAATTGGCACAATCTTTGCGTAATGATGGTGTTATTAGTCCTGATGTAAGCGATAAGCAAATCTACTCTGCATACGCTCAAGCTATTGACACTGGTATAGCCAAAGTTATGGCTAAAATGGGTATAAGCACTTTGCAATCATACAAAAGTGCTCAAATTTTTGAAGCTGTTGGTTTGGGTACAGAACTTATCAACAAATGCTTCCGAGGTACTCAAAGCCGCATTGGAGGAGTAACTCTAGAAATTCTAGCTAAAGAAAGTCTCGAACGGTATGAAATGACATATTGCAAAGTTTCACCTGATACTCGTATTTTACGTAATCCTGGTCAATACCATTGGCGTCACGGTGGAGAGGCGCATATAAATGAACCTTCTTCAATTGCTAGTCTCCAAGAGGCTGCTGTAAATAAAAATAGAAATGCTTATAATGCTTTCAAGATATCAACGTTAGACAGTGTCAAAAAGTGTACTTTACGTGGTCAATTGGAGTTTGTAACAAACCGTGAAAAAATTGATATATCCGAAGTTGAACCAGCAGGTGAAATTGTAAAAAGGTAAAAAATAAAGTGACTCTAAGTATAATGAAAATTTCAATGAAATTTCAAAAAATTATTTTTTATATAGATTTGCGACAGGAGCAATGAGCTTTGGTAGTATTTCCTTGGAAGCGCATCAAACTCTATCAATTACTATGAATCGTATCGGTGGTAAAAGTAACACTGGAGAAGGTGGCGAAGACTCAGATCGTTATTTAAGTGAGTTAGACACTTTTAATTTTACATTTTGTCAATATTTAGTCAAAATTTTGATATAAAAATACATTTTCACGTAGATCAAGATCCGAACAATAGCCGTCGTTCTGCAATTAAACAAGTTGCTTCAGGACGTTTTGGTGTAACAGCTTCTTACTTAGCTAACGCCGACGATTTACAAATTAAAATGGCTCAAGGAGCCAAACCCGGCGAAGGTGGCGAACTTCCTGGTTACAAAGTTACTAAGGACATTGCTAAAACTCGACACTCTGTTCCTGGAGTAGGATTAATATCACCACCGCCACATCATGATATTTACTCTATTGAAGATTTAGCTGAACTAATATATGATTTGAAATGCTCAAATCCCAATGCAAGAATAAGTGTCAAACTCGTCTCTGAGGTCGGAGTTGGAGTTGTTGCATCGGGTGTGGCAAAGGTATGTTTTTATGGATATATACAATAGATATCAATTGGATAACAGTGTTTCTATTCTTATTTAGGGAAAAGCCGAACATATTGTTATCTCTGGCCATGACGGTGGTACTGGTGCTAGTTCTTGGACTGGCATCAAAAATGCTGGACTACCGTGGGAGTTGGGTATTGCAGAAACCCATCAAGTACTTGTTTTAAATAATTTACGCTCAAGGTAAGCTTAGATTTTCAACAATTCTTTTACTAACCATGACGAAACATTACTGAACAACCTGGTTATCCAGATTTCGTGCTTGTCACAGGAAAGGATGAACTGATATATTATATATGTTTTAAGATACAAATGCTAATGCTTAAATGTTTTAGAGATAAAGCTAACGCTAACGCTAACGCGGCACTCGCATTTTTGCAATGAGAGAGATATTCATAAGAAATCACAATCTTATCGGTGAGATGTGATATGTGATATGTTGATTCCGTAATCATATATTTTATTGTCGCATTTGTCATTTATAATGTCGTTTTCATGCACTTCGCGCATTTTAAACACACACTTGAAACCTGAATTGCCTAAGACCAAAAAATACACGAAACATTAAAATATTCATGTGGATTAAAATGGAGCACCAGTAGCAGCTTGGACTTAATACAATACTCGTATTCTGGAACGAATTCATAAGCAAACAACTTAACTAAACACCATATTTACGATTACTTAAAAATATGCCTGTGCATATATATATATATATATATGTGTGTGTGTGACTGCGTGTCTAGTGTTTCGAAAATGTCGTTGTCTCTAGTCGTATTATTCGAAAATTGCTTGTAATTGCTCGAAATCTTCCTTCTTCTCGTCGTCGTTGTATTGTGTTCTTCACTCGATCAGACAATCAATCAAACAATCACTCACTCGCTCGCTCGTTCTTATGATCGAACACAGCTGCAGAGCTGCTCCATTAGTAATTTTTTTCATTACATATATACCACCAGTGAATTCAAATCTAACATATATTTTATTTTTTATGTCTTTGTGTGCATCCTTGATAATGTGTGCTTTATGTGCTTAATTCTTCATCTGCATATGCATCTGCATCTGCATCTGGGTCTGCACCTCTGAACCTCTGCACCTATGTAGAGTAATTGTACAAGCTGATGGTCAGTTGCGCACTGGATTTGACGTTGTAGTTGCTGCCTTATTGGGTGCTGACGAATTTGGTTTCAGTACTGCTCCATTAATAGTGATGGGTTAGTTTAACAAATTGAATCTTGTGTCAAATAATATAACACAAATAACGTATTTAATTGTGTTTATAGGCTGCACAATGATGAGAAAATGTCATTTAAATACTTGCCCTGTTGGTATTGCCACACAAGATCCGATTTTACGCAAGAAGTTCACCGGAAAACCTGAACACGTTATTAACTTCTTCTTTATGTTGGCGGAAGATGTAAGTAATACTTCTCTCTCTCTCTTTAGTAGTAAAAGTGAGATCCTTAAAATTTTATTTATTTAATAATTATTTATTAATTAAAATCTGTTTTGTTTTTTAAGAATGTTAACTTTTTTCCTAATATTAGGAATCCTCCTGATGAAGGCAAAAGCGAATTTGCCGAAATACGTATAGAATTATACTAAAAAATAACGCACGAAATAAAAGTTAACATTCTTAAAAAACAAAACAGATTTTAATAAAAATTTCGACGTAACAACTCAAAAAAATTAATAACAAAATTATATTTATTAATGTTATTGAATATGTGCATATTTATTTTTATAATTATACAAATATATTAATGTGTAATTAATATTAAATTTATATTGTTTTATTATTTAGAATTGTTTTATTTATTTATGAAAATTTAATCAACAGATTCGTCAAATAATGGCTGATTTGGGTATAAGAAAATTTCAAGATTTAATTGGTCGTACCGATCTTCTGCGAGTATCTGAAAAGCGTTTAAATAAAGCTCGTACATTAGACTTGTCTTTACTTTTGCAAAATGCATTAGACCTACGACCAGGAACTAATATCATTGGAGGTTCGATTCCACAGGACTTCCAACTGGAAAAACGTGCAGACAACGCACTTATAACAAAAGCACAAAGCATATTTAATGGATCAGTGGATAATGTTACTTTGAAAATGCGTATACACAACGAAGAACGGGCTTTTGGTTCTACGCTGAGTTACCATATAGCTTGGTATGTTCAAAGATTAAAAGATTTAAATGTTACGTCTTTTATTGTGTTTTTTCAACAGCAAATACGGTGAAGCAGGTCTGCCAGAAGGCAAGAATATAGACATATTTTTAGAAGGGTCTGCTGGTCAGAGTTTCTGCGCATTTTTGGCTAAAGGTGTAAATGTTACACTTAAAGGCGATGCAAATGATTATGTTGGGAAAGGTTTATGTGGAGGTAATATCGTTATAACACCACCAGATTCATCGCCATTTGAATCTCATTTGAATGTTATTGTTGGTAATGTCTGTTTATACGGTGCTACTGAGGGTACTGCTTATTTCCGTGGTATTGCGGCAGAACGTTTTTGTGTACGGAACTCTGGTGTCACAGCAGTTGTTGAAGTAAGTTGATAAAAGCACAATACCGAAATAACCAAACTATTTATAATATAAATTTTAAGGGTGTTGGAGATCATGGATGTGAATATATGACTGGAGGATTAGTAGTTATTCTTGGCCTAACTGGTCGAAATTTTGCTGCCGGTATGTCAGGTGGTATTGCCTATGTTTATGATATTGACGGGTCATTCAAGCCTAAAGTTAATCCAGAATCAGTCGAACTATTAACATTAGAACTAAAAAAAGACGAAACAGTTATAAAAGAACTGCTAGGAGATTTCATTCAGAAAACAAATTCGAAAATTGCTAAGGAAATTCTGGAAAAATGGGCTGAATCAAAAACTAAGTTCGTTAAGGTTTTCCCATATGAATACCAAAAAGCTCTTAAGGAGCTAGAAGCCGAATCTTTGAAGGAAGAAAATAAAAATGAATTAATAACAATTGAAAATGGAAAATCTAATAATGAACCCAATATTAAGGATATAGAAGAAGCTATACACGATATAGCCCTAGAACAAAAAAGAGCGGATCGCATATTAGATAAGACACGCGGATTTGTTAAATATAAACGTGAAACATCAATTTATCGTGATGCTGGAGATCGTCAAAAAGATTGGGACGAAGTTTATAATTTTCCACATGTGCGTAAAACTCTTAAAGTACAAGCTGCACGATGTATGGAATGTGGAGTACCATTTTGTCAATCAAACGCACATGGTTGTCCTCTTGGTAATATTATTCCAAAATGGAATGACCTCATATTTCACGGCGAATGGAAAGAAGCATTACGTCAATTACTGCAAACTAACAATTTTCCAGAATTTACTGGTCGTGTTTGTCCAGCTCCGTGTGAAGGTTCTTGTGTTCTGGGTATATCTGAGCCACCTGTCACAATAAAAAATATCGAATGTGCAATCATCGATCATGCATTTGAACAAGGTTGGATTAAACCTGAAATTCCTGAGGTGCGTTCTGGAAAACGTGTTGCTGTTATTGGCTCAGGTCCTTCTGGCTTAGCAGCTGCACAACAATTGAATCGTGCTGGTCACTTTGTAACAGTTTTTGAACGTAACGATCGTGTTGGAGGCTTATTACAATACGGTATACCAACTATGAAATTATCTAAAAATGTTGTTAAACGTCGCATTGATTTAATGGCTGATGAAGGTATTGAATTTCGTACCAGTGTACATGTAGGTAAAGATGTGAAAGCCGAATTATTGCTTAATGAGTAAGTTGATGTTTAATAATAAATAATAAAGAAGAAAGATTTTAACCTTTTTCTTTGAAATAAATAGATATGATGCTTTATTAATCACAACTGGTGCAACTTGGCCACGAGACTTACCATTGGCAAATCGCGACCTTAAGGGCATTCATTTTGCTATGGAGTTTCTTGAAGCTCAACAAAAGAAACAACTTGGTGGCAGGAAGGATATTATTTCTGCTGAAGGGAAGCACGTAATAATTATTGGTGGAGGTGATACCGGCTGTGATTGCATTGCTACTTCATTACGTCAGGGTGCCAAAAGTATCACGACTTTTGAAATTCTACCAGAACCACCAGCGAAACGAGCTAATGATAACCCATGGCCTCAGTGGCCAAAGGTATTCAGGTAAGATACTCATAAATTACCTTTTATTTTTCTTATTCACACTTTACACTTCACACTTCACACTTACCTTCACTCTACAGAATCGATTATGGTCACGAAGAAGTGCGTGTTAAATTTGGCAAGGATCCACGTCAATATTGTACAACAGTAAAAGAATTTGTTGGCAAAAATGGGCAGATCAATGCTGTAAAAACTGTTGAAGTAGCTTGGGAAACAGGTGCAAATGGGCAATGGATTATGAAGCAAGTAGACGGCACTGAACGCTACTTTGAAGCTGATTTAATATTACTTGCTATGGGTTTCTTAGGACCTGAAAAGACAGTCCCGAATGAATTAGGCCTAGAACTAGATCCACGTGGTAATATAAAATCCTGCAATGGCAGTTATGGCACATCCAATCCTAAAGTTTTTGCAGCTGGTGGTAAGTCTTTATACGAAGTTATTAAAATTTGAGACATTTACTTGCAATTTATTGCAATTTTTTTAATTTAAGATTGCCGGAGGGGTCAATCTTTAGTCGTTTGGGCTATAAGCGAAGGACGTCAGGCAGCTCGTCAAGTTGACACATATTTGTTAGGCCGACCAAGTACTCTTCCTGGTCCTGGTGGTGTTATTGATTCAACAAATAAAAACTAAGACTTTCAATAGTTTTGTTAGTATTTATTATTTAAATGTTCTGTGAAGTCTTTGTTGTTCTATTTAATTAGCATGTGATTTAAATTTGTTTTTTTTTTTTAATACTTTACGCTAAAATATATACATATTTCCATATTTGCGTATAAGTACACAAAAAGACTACACACTTATACACTTACACTTAATTAAAAATAGGTTTCTTTATTCTAATTTAGATGTTAGATGCATCAGTGCTTATATAAAACGATAGGTTGCAAATTGCTGATGTGTATTGTTATTTAAATATTGTTAAGAATATAAAATTATTATTGATATAGGCAGTTAGCAGTGCAGTGCAACATTCGCTTATTTAGTATTAAAATTAATAATACAATATATATTAATCCAATTATATTATATTACAATATTGATCCTGTAAACAAAACTCTATTATATATCAGTGTTTATATACTTCTAGCTATCAATATAAATATATTGCTACAAGAATTAACTGACTTTAAATCGGTTTAAAATCTAATGGATGACTAACGTTTTTCTTAAGTGTAAAGCAAAAAGATAAGAATACCTAAAAGGATAGGATTTAGTAACTAACTTCACTCCGTGAAAAAGTGTCAATTGCAAAATAATTAACATATTTAACCCTAAACACGTTAAAAATATAAAAATCCAAAAAAAAACATTTAATGTTTATTTAAGAGCATAAAAATAATTAAAAATAATTTAAACAGAAGACAATAATTAGAAATTAAATTAAAGGAAAGTTCTAAGGTTAATCGATTTCAAAAATGTTTTAAATTATTTATAATTCGCGTATACTGTTAATATTTTTGATGTTGTGTTTCTATATGAAAAATAAAACAAATATACTTTTAGTAAATATTTATACATATATATGTTACATATATACCCTTCAAAAACATTTCGAATATTAATTGGTATGTTGATCTCTATATAAAGGAACTGAAAACTATAATAAAATAATCAATCATATAATACAAATCTTTAATTGAAAGAAATTAATTAAAATTTACATAAATATAGTTATCGACACACTTTTGAATTGGAGGTTCTTTTGTTATTTTATATTTTATGATAAATATCACATTAAAAAGAAAATTGTATACATAGAAAACAATAAGCATATAGCAACAGTTTGGGTTTAATAAAAATTTAATTTATTTATATATACTTATATATAAATATGAATCGAAAAATTGTTCTGTAAAAATGTCCATTTCCATAAGAAATTATTCAGTATAACAGCATTACAATAAACAAAATATTTTTATTTGAGTATTTAAAATTACTATGCAAATATATTATATAAACCGATCATATACATATATATATTTAAAAAAAATATATTTAATAATAAATTATGTGTTACAGTTAACAAAAACTTTAGTTTTCTTTTGTAGTGTCACAACCTTAAGCTTTCTTCACAATTTCGCTTCATATCAAAGTTAGTAGTTAAGAATGTTTATTCTTAGATCCCGGAGTGTATAACCGGGATCTTAGGATATTCTTTACGCATGACGTATCAAAGCCATCTCAAATATAGTGATTTCATAAACGGTGTAACCAACTGCATAATTGACTAGTTCTTCAAACTGTAAATTGTATAATCTTTTCTATAAAACACCATCTGTGATTGGGACAAATATTTCCTAAGTGAAAACGGATTTGATAAGTGACATATATATAATTGTACTAGTGACGATGAGTGCCTTATCTAGAAGGGTATGCGGCCCTTCCACAATGTTGTTTTTACATGTACAGCTTAAATAAAAAATGATAAATTGAAATATATGAGATGTTTTATTAATAATAACTATATTACATTAGGCAATAATATAACAGTTCATTAAAAAAATAACATAACTTAATAATTTATATACATATAAGTTTAAATTATATCAATATGGAATAAACACAACTTTTCAAATACTTCTTATAACATCAAACAAACATTTTTCAAACAAGAGTACTCAGAACCATACCTGTTTATGCAGTGATCAAACAAAATCGAACACACTTATAACGTATGAGTGTGCGACCAACTTTTCCGCACACCTAACGAAAGAAATTCGTGCGGGCTACTGCTATAAGGGAAGAGACGAAATGTAATAAAAAAGTACTGAGATTTGTGCTGCAAATTTTACCGCGCAACTAAGTGCTTCGGCAAATCAACATGTATTCGTATACATGCAGTTGATATTCGAATACAACAAAAAATTACTCTCTTTAAATTACTCTCTTTATTTTTGTAGACAATTATATTCAATTGTTTTTGCTAAAACTTTAGTCTTTAGATATATATATATAGAAATGTAATAAATAATATTAATTCTCGATGTGAAGATATTTAATAATTATACATATATTATTCGACATTTTGCAAATTATGTTAGGGTGTGCATCGCAAACCTCCGCTTCTTAGAACAGTCGTCACAGAGTTGTACCCTTCAAGAAAACAGCTTGAATTTAAATAGTTTAATATGGGAAAATAAGGTTTACTTTCTGTGCTTATTCGGAACTTTTTTTGTTACACATGTATTGAAGAAATTCTATAAATATTTAAACGGGTCTTTCAATTGGCTTTTGATACTTGAATTTCACTACTCGTCAGAAGTTATAAACCCGGTTATTTTTGAAATATTTTACAACTGTGTGTCCTGCTACTTACACAGATCTACGACCAACTTATATGTCTCCGTCCTACCAGTGACAAAGTTCATGAACCTTAAAATGATTTCAATTCAAAAGCAGTATTAATAATTATTCCAAAGCTTGTAATGCGATTTCATAGCCAACTTAATATTTTTATGGTGTATCATTGCTGAACGCCCAATTCATGTGACGCTCAACGAAGGACTGAATAAACTATAAAAATGAATTTAATATTTTAATAGATTTTAATAGATTAAAATAGGTTTAGTCAACGAACAGTTCAATATATTTAATTGGTTGTGTACAAAGTATGGTTAACTATATGCCGCTAAAGATTATCGAAAATCTAATACATAAATAGCTTTTAACACAAACAATTAACTTTTACTCTTAAAACACTTAAAGTTGAGTGATCATCATTCTCACACTTAATGATACGAGTGGACGGATACGTGTTGTCTTTAGGGTTTGATATACAGAGATACATCAGATTCTAAATAATTTGTATAAAACATATTTGTGTAAAAATGTCACTTTTTATTTATATAGTATAATACAAATTAGAGTCAAGCGTAAAAAGTTTAGGTATCTGAACAATAATAGTAGAGATTTAAATATAAAAACGTATCCAATATCAGTCTAAGACGCGAAGTTTAACACAATCATTAGAGCCTTTTCAACTACATTTACGCACCAATAGAATAAACGCTTTATTAATTAATATAATAGAAATTTGTTTAATATTTAATGTTCGAGATAATATCATATATTTGGTATTTTTTTTCGTTAAATGCCACACTTGTTTAATCAGCGATATGGTGAGAACTTTTATTTTCATTTTCTATTTGGGCGTTTTAAAATTTATCATTCAATTTATTTTATGCGTAATTTAAAATTCTGTCCCACAACTAGGACAGCGTTTATTTTTCATCGCCATGCAGCATATTATACCAATTGGAAACAGTACGATGGCACAAACTAATCCTAAACAGGAGTAACCATCCTCCAACTGACCTACGCGACAAGCAGGACAATCACCAATTGCTATTCTGGGGATTGGTAAAGTGTCAGCTTCACCATCAGATGGATCCTCAACACTTACTGGTGTTGTTTCCAACGCACCATATGAATTTATTATCGGGGAAGGCGCTGTTGGTTTAACAACAGAATTAAATGTTGTGTCTTTAAAGATAAACTAATGTATATTTTTGTAAGAAGCAACAAATTAGTGTATACTCTACCTTTTGCATTTGCATCCAAATTTGATCCAGATTTTGTATTATCTATTAATGAACTGCCAGTAGCTTCGTCATAAGAGGGCGGAAGATCATTTACTTGCACAGACATTTTCAATCGCTTCAGTTCCAACAATTCAGTTTTAGACTCTTACTCACTTTTTTATATATATAAGATAACTAACTATATACTCAAACCCCCTGCATTTGCTTCGAACATCTATTTACATTTGCATTTATCACTGTTCCAATAACCAAGATCTAAGAGGTATGTTCAGTCACTCTAAAACTGATATTAAAATTAAATATATTTTTTATACATCAACAAAAACTATTTCAATTATTGTTTGAAAATTGTTGTACATGCGAAGTGGTCACAGAAATTCGACTGAACCGTATAAAAAATAACATATGTATAATAAATATTAAATATTTGAGTTACCTTATTTGAAACTGGTAAATCGTTTGAACATACAATCATTTGGCAGCATAGAGTGCTGCCAACGCTCATTAATACTGTTAGTATACGTCATTCCTTTTGTGTCTCATTCTACCTAATTGACACAAATTTTCTCTAGTTGCTTGACCAACTTTTACTATTCGTAGTAAAATTGAAAAACTTTTTTTTATAAACAACAAATTATAAAACATTAAATTAGGCAACAAATTTATCAAAACAAAATGGCAACAAAAATGGCATTTCAACACCAAGCCGGAACGGCTATGGAGTGTTTAAGCGTAAGTAATCATAGAGATCAATGGGAATAGGCTCATGAATGAGTATGAGTTTGTTACGTGGGTGGAGTTAAAATTATTCACGTTAACAATATGTTACAGATACCAATAACATTACACAAGGAAAAGGATTATGATCAAGAAGGTAGGGAGATACTAAAGTGTGGCTTTAAAATTGGCGGTGGTATTGATCAGGATTATAAGAAAAGTCCACAAGGTTACACAGACTATGTAAGTTTTGTAATTTTTTGTAAAGCAAGGACAAAACTCTTGAATATTGGTAATATTTTTAGGGAATATATGTAACCGAAGTGCACGATAACAGTCCCGCAGCACGCGCTGGCCTGCGCATACATGACAAGATTCTACAATGCAACGGCTACGATTTTACAATGGTGACACATAAAAAGGCTGTAAGCTATATACGGAAAAATCCTATTTTGAATATGTTAGTTGCTCGCAAAGGTGTAACTTCCACATAAACTCGATTAATTTATTTTAAAATAATTTAAATCTTCCTAACTAAACATTTGTAATACTTAAATACTCTGATGATCTCTTCTAATTTATCAGTGCATATCGACACAATTTTATACAGATATTAAAGAAACTCTAATTTAATTTCTATTTGAATAAGGTTTCAAGATTATATATTGTAATTTTAACATATTCACGTAACTATTTGCTATAATCGATTTGTAGTAATTTTTAAAGGGAACTTGATATTTTATTGATCTAATGTATGTAGTTAAAAAATTATTCCAGCTTCTTGTACTTGCATGGCTTAATATGTGTCTCTTAAATTATATATAAAAATTACCATATCAAAAATTTTTATAAATGATTCTAATATTCATAACGTCTTTAAACCACAAAAAGGTTGTTATTATACACAGTTTAAAAGTTTAAACTTATTGAATTAAAATTATAGTAAAAAATAATCAATGTAATGTACACAGCTTAAACAGAATACACACAGTATATTGTAAAAGGAAGCAATGACTTGCAAACAACAATGCAACTGCCAAATCTACAATTTATTATTATAATTACATAAAAAAATATAAAGAATTTTATAAACGTTGCCAATAATCATTACTGATAAGATGATATAAATGCTTTTAATAACTGAATAATAATAAGTGATAATGTTAATATGAATTTACACCAACAAAAACTGAACTATAACAATCGAATCTGTACTTTAAGCTTTTTGCTGGCGACTTTGATTTCCTGGATTTACAATTAACTCTTATTTGCAGACATAAACCACAAGCTTATCATTCCAAATAAACACAAATTGATTTTATGTGATAAACATGCATCAAATTTTATTGAATTTAAAATAAGAATACAAAACCTTTTGTTATATGACAGAAATGTTTTTCGCTAAGAAAAAATGTATTAAGTTTTTATAATAAAATATATTTCATTTATACTTTACTCAAAGCATTTTATTCCAAGCAACTAAAAAGATGTTAAAGATTTATTATATTATTTATATATCATTCAAACTTCTAACATATCAGGAACATATAGTTTCTACAAAGGCTTTCAGTTATTAGTGCTAAGTGCCAAGGATATTACCTCATTAAACGATTTGCCAATTTCACTTAGAATCAACCTTCCCCAAAATAAGTATCGCCACTCGCAACACCTAGTACGTTGAAGATCCACCAATATCAACGCTGTATGTAAAATGTTATCATATGGTTGAAAGTGCAGTGTATGGTCTATTCATAGGTGTGTCGATAAACAAATAAACAGTGTATTTATAATTGTCTTCGATGCCAATAACTGAAAAAATTGTTAAAGCTCAAACAGTTTTCACATTCTGTGAAAAGACTAAGTGATCTCCTCCCATTAACATATTGAGGAAATATATAAGCGGCACTTCGTCGTCGTTGTGATCGTATGCCCATTCACTCCAGGTACCATATATATCTCAAGTGTTAAAGAAAAAGGGGGTTCTGTAGTGAAGACACCGAGTTTTTATTGCTATATTGTCTAAGTAGGGCAATTTTTCAACCAAAAACAATGTTTTTAAAATAAATGTGCATATTCGTTATATAGATTTTGATTCTAGAAATAAATAAAAAAAAAATAATTTTGCTCACATTTTTAAAACGTACATTTATTAAAAAGGACTGTTTTTATACTATTTATCATAAAAACATTGGTACATCATTAACTAAATATAATAGTAAAGTTACTTTAAAAGAGGAACATACGAAAAGGAATAATACGAAAATCATAGTACAAAACGTTACGATACTATAAAAGTTACGATATATAAAAGTAATAACAAAGTAAAAGGAATGACTACAAGAATATATTGACATAAATTAATAGATTTTCAACAATTGCACAACTCACACATAGGCAAGATATAGACATAAAAACAAAAAAAAAAAAAGAAAAAAAATCTTTACGAAAAAATTCTAATTTTCAAAATTTATTTGGCAGCGTAACCGTTAGGATTTTGACTTTGCCAACGCCAGGTGTCTGCACACATTTCAAGTATTCCGCGTGTTGCTTTCCATCCCAACGCTTTTTCCGCAAGTGTTGCATCAGCATAACAAGTTGCCACATCACCAGCACGCCGCTCAACTATTTCATGGTTGACTTTCCGATCAGCTGCCTTTTCAAAGGCATGCACCATTTGCAATACTGAATAACCTACACCAGTACCTAAGTTGTATGCAAAAAAGCCTGTCTCTGCAACGTTACGTAGTTTATCCAAAGCTTTAAGATGACCTTCTGCTAAATCAACGATATGAATGTAATCACGTACGCCAGTACCGTCAGTTGTCGGAAAATCGGAACCATAGACACGTAAGACACTTCGCCTGCCAACTGCGACTTGTGCTATATACGGCATCAGATTATTCGGTTCACCGTTGGGATCTTCCCCAATACGACCACTCGGATGTGCTCCAACCGGATTAAAATAACGTAAAGAAACTACAGCCCAGCGCTGCAATATAAACGTTTTGTCATTAAAGAGTTCTGTATAATATTACAATTATATAAATAGACGCACCTTATCCGACCTGCAAAGATCTTTCAAAATTTCCTCAGTAAAATATTTAGTTTTACCGTACGGACTTGTGCAGTTCCCTGTGGGATGATCTTCTGTTACAGGCAAAAACTTTGGTTCACCATACACGGTAGCACTTGAACTATATACAAACTTAAAGACATTGTTATCAGCCATTGTTTTTAGCAAGACATTCGTGCCAGTCAAATTGTTTTGGTAGTATTGCAAGGGTATGCGACATGATTCACCAACAGCTTTGAGGGCTGCGAAGTGAGCAACCATATCGATTTTATGCTGAAAAAGAAAAAATGTTCAATACAAAATGTTCACGTTTATGATACGAGGTGTGTCACATATGATAACCAAACCAAAGAAAAACAAATATATTTATTATAACAATTAAAATAAATTGATTAGATTGATAATATTATTTTTAATAAACTATGTTGAAGGGAAATTTTAGACGCCTAAGGTTATGAAGTTAAAACATCCTCAATACTATTTCCTGAAGTAATTAAATCGTACGTTAGGTATGTACTAAATTGAATTCACATTAATAACGAAGAAACATATTTAGTGCTTCATTTTGCTTAAAAATATACATTATAATACGCGGTGCTGGCTTAAAAATATAAAACAAATAAAAAATAAAAAACGTGCTAGTTAAGAGCACTAAAAATACAGCATAGAAATAAAAAAAAACTGTAAAAAATCGCTAACAAACTTTTTCGATAATAAAAAGTGCCAGCAACACTAAAAAATTTAAAGAATTTCAAAAAACATTTATATGAATAATATATTTATAAATATTTATGAAAAATGTTGGTAAAATTAAATATTTAGCCGATTTCACACATACACAACAGTCTTGGATAAAAAGCAGATAATCTCTGATTCTCAAAAAAATGTTACCATTTACTACAAAGAAAATGAAACGAAGCTTATTTTTCCTTATTTTCCTTCTATAATAAAGAAGATATTGTGTTACTAATATTTTTTGGGATCACACTTCAATTTTATTATATATATATATATTGAAACCTTTAACTAGGGTTAGCATAGGGCCGCTCTTTATTAAAATACTGCTTTTAATTGCATTCTTTATATGTCGATGAAATTTAAGAAACAACAAAATATTTTATTTTTATATTTGTATTTGTTAATAGAAATTATTGTAAGTATTGTGAATAGAATAAGAAAAAGAATTATTCATTTTTTATAGTACAAGGAGAGAGAGAGAGTTTTCCTTTAACTTCCTATTTCATTGCCAGAATAAGGCATATGCACGTATGCACTGCAAGTAGCAATATTTTTGCTACTTTCTCAATGTCAATGGTAAATACATATTCACAACAAGAATAGAAATACGTAACGATTACACCTTTCTAAACCAGCGAAAAACGTTTTACAGTAATGTTTTTCAATCTAAAATTTTTTGATAAGCCATAGTGATTACATTGAATGGAATAGAAAATCGCATACGTGTTCCTAAAGAGTTGCTTTCGTCACTTTTAACGACTTGACAACGTATACTACAATGTGAAGTCAATGTGACCTTATTTAACGGAGGCTTCAGAACATCGCTGACATCTGTGTTTACACAATCGTTTTAAAAATTATTGAGCAAATAACAACACTACAAATGATGCTGATAGCAATTACCGAGTTTTCGTATTTGCAAATGTACTTCTATATTACCCATACATACATAGTTTGGGTTTTGAGTACAATAGTTGATATGAATTCCTACGACCGACGATTTGATAAAAAAAATGGAGCAGAAAAGCGATATAAAACTCCTCAAGTAGTTTACTCATAAAATCGAAATAGCGTCCAGTATGTAATTGTTAAATCTGGGACATATATATATATCCAAAAACCCATGTTTGACTGATAAAGAAAACAAATATGTGAAAGAAGCGCAAAGCACGTACTCGAATTTTTTCATTTATCGTTTTAACGGCTTATCAGCAAAAATAGAAAATATTTCAGAAGAAAAACTGTCAGCAATTAGCTGTGCACGGAAATTGCCAACAAGATAAATTTACAAAGCCATCAATATTCATTTTGATTATCAGACACAAAAGAAAACACAGTAGATAGACGGATTTTGTGATGTACTTAAGTTAAAAAATATTTGAATTAAAAATAGGTCATGAGGTCAAAAAGTTAAGACCTGATAGGTAATGAAACGACAATGCTAAGCTTACCTCTTGAAAAATGGCACGTAATTCCTCATCTTTGGTAATGTCTGCATTATGAAAATGCACCTTCTTGCCAGTTATCTCCTGTACACGACTTAATGCTTCAGGCAGCTTCGAAGAACCAGTGCTGTAGGCATTGCAAAGATTATCCACACAAACTACGTTGTAACCAGCGTTTAACATCTCTAGCGTTGTGTGTGAGCCTATATAGCCTGCTCCGCCAGTAACAAGTACAGTGGGTGGTGCCATTTCTAGTAAAAAAATTAATCAATTACAAAATTAATTGCTTTGGTTTTTAAGTTCTAGACAAGCAAATAAAACAGTTCTGCGTAAGCCAATTGCGGAAATATTGACGTCAACAACACAAAGCAAAAGTTTCGCATCACTCACATAACTCATCTCTCACTCACCTGTGCAGTTCTATTTTACTCGTTGTGTATATACAAATTATATATTCTGAAAATATTTGTTCGTTCAGCAAACGTTAAATATTTATTAAAATTCATTCACCAAACACGTTGTCAAGATCAAAGAACGGGTAACAAAACTACCCTTGAAGCAAAAACGTTCGCTGTACCGCTTTTGTTGAAGATGATCACGAAATAACGCATAAACTTGTAACTTGTTTGAGTAGATTTTTCTCACAAATGCGCTTTTTTGTTAAATTATGCCACCTTTAGTTTATTACAGCATAAGCTTCAATGTTCTTTGCTCTTTTTTCCGTTGTTATTCAGACCAACACGTATTGTGTGTTTTCGTTTGAATGTTTGAATATTGCTGATACACCTTCTGCAGCTATTTTCACTTTAACCGTTGTTGCTGCTTTGCACCTGCACTACTGACTTCTCGGTTTTCGTGCTATCGCTTGCATGCTCTAACTGAGCAAAATCAAGCTGCTCCAACAATTTTATTTTGCTATCAGTACCACCGGAATAATTCTCCCAAGATTATGCAAACAGCTGTTGATCACTAATGTTTAGTGTTGTAAAGCGTTCATTACTTACAGGTATATGACGGTGTTATCCATAATTAAATATTCAAGGTTTTTAGATGATCCGGGTATAAGTAAATATTCGTAATATTCGTAAATAATTTTGTTAATGTGTTTTGTGTTATCTGCATTGATGGGTAATTTTAAAGTTGAGTGGTAGTTTTAAATCCCATAAGATGCGTGCATAAGGGAATATGTAATTCTTATATTGTTCGAGGATAAGAGAAAATGTAGAGATATTTGGGTGGTATATATATATATTTTTATTGGTAAAAAGTTAATTAGAAGGCCTTCTAACCTACAATTAATTTATTGTTTTTATCACTTTTGTAACAATTATGTTTTATATTTTAGTGATAAAAAATTGTTAGATAGCATTGCAGACAAGTGTCAACTTAACCTTCAACTGAGATCACATATAATAAATTCTTAAATTTGCTGCATTTTTTGTATATATATTTGAATCCTGAACGCATTTTTCTTAACTAATTTTAATATTTCCATTTGATTTATACATATACCAAATTGTGAAGTGTCACCTCACGCTTATATGTGCCATTTAAAATACCACTTAAAATTCAATTGAGTTTCAAATAAGTTCCAAATACGTTCCAAGTACAAATAAATACATTCAATATACCCTGAATAAAGGTTTTTTCTGGCATTTTGACAGTTTTAGAAAGCTGTTTTTGAGATATTAACAAGAAAGGTATGCAAATATTTGGTGGTTGCATTTGATTTCGGATTGTTTATTGAAGAAAAAAACTTATTTTTTCTAAATAACTCAATTGTTCGCTAATAATCAATCTTTTATTTTAAACGTTCATTTTTAACAAATAAATGTTAACAAAATTACGTAAATTGTAAATTACGATTTTTCAAATAAAATATACGTTGACAAATCAGCTGTTTAAAATGAAGACAGCTGATAATAACGAATGTAAACACTTTCAAATCACTGATTTGAAATGTGTCATTTGCACCCAGTGTAAATGCCATATAAAATTAGTATAGATGTTCATATTTTTACTTAAAAAATATGATATAAAATTTTTTTATATTTTCTTGTATAACCTATAGATATAAATTAATAATTATAACAATATTTAAAACTTTGTATTAAATTATATTAAATTAAAATAATATTAGACGAACGCGTGCTGTTAATTCAGTAGCTAAAGTTAAAGTGAATATGTTTGGCTCTTAAAGTTAGGAACTACGAAGGTCAAACGCAACTTTTCCAAACAAATAAGTTGGTATCCCTTTTGGTAACAATGAGACAATGGAATAATATTGCAAGATTATGTCGTTAATGAAACTAAGCGCAGGGGACGAATTTGAAATACCTTATATAATTGCTTAAAATTAATTATAGATAAATTGATATAATTTCATATCTAGTTCATATCTAATTTATTAAATAGCAATTTATGAGGATTTTCTACATAAATGCGAATATATGCGAAAGTAAGCTAAATGTTAGTGAGTCAATGTAGTTTGTATAACAGAATATATATATATATATAACAGAAATTTAAATAAGTACTGTTTATTAAAATAGAGTGGCATCATTTTCTATTAGTTAGTTTTCAGTATCATCCTGTGCCAGAAGTCAATTAAGTGGTCGTCAAAAACACTTTTTTGACAAATCCGAGGTATAGTTGGTTTGTTAAAAAATCGTTAATTTTGTTAAAAGTTTTACATATATTTGTGATTCTTAAAGCGAACCATGGCAAAAATATTAAAAGCGGTAATCAATCTAATTATTGACATGTTGTTTTACAATGAAATATGGGATGCATATTTTTAATTTAGTTGTTATGTCATAACTGAAGTTAATAATATTGAATGAATTCGTAAAACATTTTGAATTACTTGTTTCTTGCAGTCCACTGGACTTACTGGTCTGACTGTGTCCACGAATCCACACCACACTCTCAATGCTCTTTACGGGAAGATTTTGCGTGCATTGACTAAAATGCCTCAAGATGCTGCTTACCGCAGATATACTGAGGAAATAATAAAACAACGTGCCAAGGCAGTTGAAACGGTAAGTGACAGTTATTGCGTTTTAAAACTAAAAACTAAAATAAAAATAAAATTTTTTAATTCCAGCATAAAGATGTTACGGCGCTTGAGTCAGCACTAGGATGTGGACAAGCGGAAGAGTTAATCGTGCAAGCAGAAAATGAGCTAATACTTACACGTAAAATGCTTGGTTGGAAGCCATGGGAGAATTTAGTGAAGCCTGCGCCTCCCAAACAATGGGATTGGCCACCTGCACAAATTTCTGAACCAAAGTTATAATAACCCAATAACAAATAATTTCAAAATTTGTTACAAAATTTTTCCTTCATAATTTAAAACATTTAACGCAATTTATTAATTTATATAATACCTTGTGGATTTATGTCGAAGGACTTCATAGCAGTTTATATGTTAATTATTATATTTGAAAGTAAATAATGAGATCGCTTTAAAATTGATATGTTGACATTGATTTTTTATACACTTTAAAATAGCAAAAGTGATAATAATTCTTATCAGCAAATAGAGTCGCTTTAGTTATTCGATTTCTACTTTTTGTAAAAAGATGTTCGATTTATATTCAGTCTCATTTTGAATTATTTACAGTGCACTTATGTTTTGGAATATAAAAATGTTTAGTAAAATCATATTTTTTTACGTGATAATCTGTGTCTATTGCGATTGGTGTTTGTCAGCACCAACATTAAATGATTTGAATGATCCTATGATTCACAAAAACGAGTTAACTCTTCAACGCAGTCGACGCCAAATAGATCTAACAATATCGGCTGATCATGATGATAAGGACGATGATACGGAAATCGCCTTAGAAGCCATAGCAAATCTCTGGCGAAGCCAAGATGGAAATACTCAAATCGAGGGCTCAGCAAAGGTCATACACCGCTCGAACGCTCTGCAATCTGGTAATACACGTTACTCAGGACGTTTGCATGTCCACCATGATTACAGGAATCAATAATGTATTTTTATATTTTTACGCATGCTCTTGCCCTTATTCATCTCTCATATCAAAGCTCCTGACGATTGGCGCTTGGGTGTTCGTGTAGTATTTAGTTAAACGTGCACAAATATAAATTTTTAAATGTTTAAATTTTGTTTGCTATTAATTTGTTTAACTGTCCTCGTTGATAAACTTTGAACTCAAATTGATTCGCTTTATCACAAAAACAAGAAAATTAAAACATTTTTTGTGCGTATTGTATTATAACAAATAAATTAATAATTTCCAATAAATTGTTTTCAAAAATGCTTCTAAATAAATTACCTTAATATTTAGTACGGGGTTTCAATGATATAATTATATTAATATGAATGTGCGTACTTTAACCAACTCCTCACATCGATGATCAATTGGAGAGAATTAATTAAATCAGTGAATAATTAAAGTTAGGATATTTGCAGAACAGATTGTTTACTAAGAAATTGCTTATATAGAGAATTTTCTGAATCTACCACAGAAAAGCGTTCAGACACACAATTTGAATTATTGATAAACATTTTTTAATATTATTAATATATAAACCTTTTCCACTTGTATCTTTTGTATCTTGTGGATAAGAAAAATTTTAGTTTTCTTTAAGCTTTAAAACTCAATATCAACGTTTTTTATCTTTAGTTAGTTTCTTTTCTTTTGTATTCAATGCGATTCTTATTAGGTTGGAATATGTTCAACTAAAGGAATACCATTTACCAGAGGTAAGTAATTTTAATAATGGTATAATATCGGGAACAACTGCAGTTTGGAGACTAAAAATGTTTTTTGTTAAATGTATTATATTTACACATATAAATATAAAATATTTGTTAAAGAAATTGTGTTAATGCGACAGTTACTTATTTTATTAACGAAGACGTGGTGAGTTTTCGAACTCTGCAGCATTAATGATGAATTGGTTTGGATAAGGACAAAACCGCAAATAGATTACTTTCAGTCAGAATTCAAGAAGGGTATAATTTAAGGATTAATTTCGATCTTGGAAAATATTTAAGTAGATCCATCAAAAAATAGTCTTAATTTTTTATTACGTAGCACCAAATTTTAATATTATTTCACATGATATATGTATGCATATTCCTAAGAATGTTATGGGTAATGAAACTCTTTGACTTTATATTACATTATTTAGTTAAATTTTCTCATATGACATGGACAGTTCTCAAAAGCCAAAAACCCATATAGAAGTTTTCGTAAGGTTATAAAATTTTAAAACTATATTATTTATATAACTTTCCCTTGAATTGTAACATAGTTCTAAAATTCTCTTTATTTTTTATATTCAAGTTTATTTGAGATAATTATTTGACATTAAGCAATAGGCATCTTATATAAAATTAGGCAATAAATTCATTTTAATTTAAGCAAGGAAAAATTTCTCCTTATCAATAAATAATACATCTGCATATGTATTATTATATCATTTACAAAAAAAAACTCATAGAATCAGAAATTTGGTTTCGCCTCTTCACAGTCAATCGATCAATCACATTTAAAGTGCGGATCAGACTATCATTTTTGAGTGTCATTCAAAAGAGAAAATCCATGAATGACACTCAAAAATGATAGTCTGAACTATTGAATGACACACAACCAATATCATCCAGCTTCTCGCCGACATGTTGTAATTGATAGTCTGTCACCCAAAAACTTGCATTCGTCATTCAAGAACATACTTTTGCGTGGTTACAATAACACACTTACAGCGTACGCAATCACCTTTATTCTTCACAAATTTTGCTTGAATGACAACTCTTGAATGAGCTTGTTCAAATTTGGTAGCTAGAATAAATTTGAGCAAGAGAGAGCACAACTTGAATGACATTCAAAAATGATATTCTGCACCGCGCTTAAAAGAGCGCCGCTACTATTACCCCCTTAGCTACAAACCTGAATACTATCTGTGCTTGCTAACATATTTCTTATTGAGCACAAAAAAATAGAAAAGTTTGTTTATTATTTTTTTATTGATAAAACCACATATTTTTACGTATATTTAAGTTTTCCATAAATTGTATCATATATGTAAGTACGTATGTAGGTAATTTTAAAGTTTCAAAGTTAAAAGTAGCACACAGAGATTTGATTTATTTTACTTTTAATTTTATTTTTTTATGGTTTTCTTTATGGCTTTGTGTTTAAATAAATAAAAGTGTTTACTTTTTATGATTTCAAACAGTTTTTGCATCAACCATAGAGGTTTCTGATTTTAATTATGAGCTATTTCCGTTCTTTGGGATATAAAATTTGTTTAACTTAAATTTAGCACTGAACTTAAACTTCATTAATTTTCTTTAAAACTTTGCCTAAATGTTATTTTTAAGTTTTTGTTTTTGTTTTTGTTTTAACACTATTTAATTTTTGATCACAATTTGTTTGCATTTCACCATTCTTTTTTGTCTTCTTGTCCCTTTTCCATTTCTTGGCCAAATTTTTTATTATCCAAAAATATTTGTCAACCTTTGTTACTTAAATTAAATTAAATCAATTGCAATTTGCATATATTTTAAATTTTTACAATTTTTAATTAGCCAAAATCTTTATACTTTTTATACTAAAATAATGAATTTATTACATGACAATAATTTTTATTGATTTTTTCAGTCAAAATTTAGTCAAAACTATTTATATACAAATTTTGTTTTTTCGATGTTAGGAAATTTTTTTCATATATATAGCTTTATATATATGTAGTTAAGAAATTTAATTGGTTTTTAATATTATAATTAAATGTGCCGAAATAAACTTGAAAATAAAATAACAAATAACAAATAACAATCAGAAAAGACAATTTGAAATCAGAAAAATATTGTCTTACACAATAGAACCAATATATGTACCGCAGTACTTATCTCTAACAAAATAATAACTGAAATTGAAAATATAAAAATTATAAGAGCAATACATTTAAATTTATTTTACTAAATGTTATGAAATGTATAATTTTAATATTACTTTTTGATGTATAAAGCTACTTCCACTGGCATCTGTATTAGCAATAAAAAAACTGCTCAAATAGATCCACTCACTGACACTTGAAGATATTTCCATATATCTTTAATTCTAATTAAAATTTTCTTACAAATTTTGTTATAAATTATTCAACGAAATGTTATTGTTTTAGATTACAGGAAAAAACAAGATTGTTTTTATACAATTTTTTACCCCATTTGGTTAATTCAAGAATAAAACGTTTCTTTTTAATAATTATATAAAAACACAGTAGACGAATATCTAATAAACTGAATTCTTTTTCAATAATAAACAATTAAATGCTTGCATTCATTTTTTTAGAATACACAAACATTTTTTTATCTAAATAAAGAATGTTTCATAAAATATTGCACATCTTTTTTAATATCTGCCAATAAATTTCTATATTTCACAATTATGTGCATTAACTGCACTATTTAAGTGTGACACCAATTACTAGTACGATTACTAATCTGTAGAATTTTCAAAAGACAATGATGAACTGATTAAAACTTAATTTGAAAAAAAAGATTGCTGCTAGATATATTATCTTAAAATTCACAGATTATAACTAAATAAATGCAAGGTTTTTTTTGTTGTAAAATAACGTAAAAATTTACACAATCATAAAATTATATAATTTTCAGGAGTAATTTATACTTTATAGTCTTAACTCTTATAAAAAATTAAACGTTTTTAAAATAGTGACCCTATGTCTTTTATTTTACCGAGAGTCTGTATACATTTGCTGTTATACCATTTGCTAATAATAATATATTTGAAATATCATTGATAATTAATCAGACGAGAAAATTAATTAATTGATAACGCCATGGCATAGATTAATGCGAGGAATGTGGATCTTTCTTAACTACTGTGAAGAGCAACAAGCGCTGTTAATATAATTTCAAAATTAATTTAATAAGAATTTTTTTAAAAATCATTTTTAAATATTTTTAACAAAATATAACTTAAAATAATAATGCAAACAAAAACTAAAATGTTTTACACATTTACGACCTTAATTCTTTCATTCTTTATTATTTAATTAATAATTTATATATACACATAGAAATACAAAATTTTATATTTTTAAATTATCTTTCGTTTTTAATAAAAATTACTTTATCTTAATTGTAATTATATGCATATTGTGTTTACTATTTTGTTTTTTTATGAGCTACTTAATAATAAAGTATTTAATATAAAAAAGACACATTTTAAATAAAAAATTGAGTGCTATTTTGAATATTTGTTTTTATATGCTAGGTAAATTCATTATTTACTTATATTTATTATGCTGTATCTGTTATTAAGTCAAATAATTAAAATAAAGCAAAACATTAATTAGAAAATATATAACAATAAAACTTAACAAGAAAAAGATAATATATTAAAATTAAGGCATGAAAGGTTTATTTTGCTATCGATACGTTTTTTTTTTGTTAAATATGGAAGAAGTTTAATTCATACTAGAATTAGATTCTGCCTGGTAAAATCCAACAGAATCAGCATTGACTGTCAAGAAATATCAGATTGATTATATATGAAAACCACGAATTACAATAAATTCAATGATTAAATTACAAATTTGATATTTTTATGGTTATAAACAAGTTTTATGTGTTAATTATATAATATGATTGAGAGTTTTTTTTTTAATTTATTATATCTTTGAAAATATTTAAAATTTGCCTATTTATTAATCTTGGGTATTTTTTTTTATTAAAGTAAAATAAAATACGCAATTATAAATTAATTTGTACGCAGATAGTAATGTTATATTAAGTGTTATGGTTTTATTTGTTTAAAATTAAAATAATTATCACTATGATTTGTTAAAACACAATGAATATTAAATATTTAAAAAATATTTAATTTATTGATACTAGAACAAAAAACAGATTGTGAATTAATTAGGAGTAAAAGTAGACTGTGCAAATAATATCTCACCAATTATAATAAAAAAATTTTAATTATTGAATACAATAAAATACTATTGAAAAAAACTACTAAAAAAATAATTTAAACATTTAAACAATAATTTGAACAAAATTGAATAAAAATTTATTCAAATGCATAATCATTCTAAATATAGTTTTGTTTCATGCATTGTGTTTTAAGAATGTCTATGCAAATTATGTATAAACTATTACTAACATTAATATTACATTTATTATTTATTTAAGATTAAACTTTTTAATTTTAATATGTCATAGCTAAAAATAATAATTTTGATTTCAATGTCTTCTTTTTTAGTGTTTTTTATGCTATGCTTTAACATCATATTACCGTTTTATGCAACATAAGAATATAGAATATTTACATTTAAAAATTGTTTAACATAAATATAAGACAACAAAAAAAAATGAAACTAAGACAATTTTAAACATATACAGTAAAAATTTATAAATATTTTTAGAATTTAAATACATTTTAAATATTTTTGAAATTTTCAAAGCGATAACATATAAATTTTATACAAATAGTTTTTTTTTTTGTTTTAAATTGTTTTATTGAATTAATAACTAAAACAATTGAAATCAATTTTCACTTACAGTTACCTGCTGCATTTACAATGAAATTGTTTTAATAGGTTTTACATTACTATATCTCAATGAAGCCATACATGCAGCTTAATTAACTATAAATTTATTTTGAAAACATCTACAATAATCAATATCAATATTAATGACTTAATTCTTGCTATTTCTTTGTTGTTGTTACTTATGGTTTTCTGTTCATACAATTCTAAACTAAAACCGTTCACAAATGTAACGATTTTTATTCTCATAGTTACAAGTTTTACGTTTATGTTTTCCAATTATTTTGGCGACTACTACTGGGCCCAGGAGCTGGCGGTGGTATCATTTCTAATAAATATTGACGTTGGAGCTCTGCAGCTCTTTGCATATCTGCCAAACTAGCGGTTTGATTCTTCGACGAAGAAGACTGCGTAGAGTTCTTTTTACTGTTATTAAAAGCTGTTGAGATAAAAAGCAAAATTAATAAAAATTTATTATTTTTTTTTAAACTATATAAAGTATATTAAATTAAATTAAAAAAAGTTAACAAATACACTTCATACTAATCAAAAATCTGTCAAACTCATTTCACATTAATGGTGGAGGACGAGTAACTACATAAAGTTGTAACTCTTTTATAAAATAATAAAAAATTATAAACATAATATAACATAAGAAAATCAGTAAGATTTTTCTTTTTGGAATGCGCTATATGCATGGATATAATTGGTGATTATTTATAACGGCGATGCTCGCTACTTGTTAAATGTGCAATTATTAGTGACGTGGCGTAAGAGTGAAAATCAGCTTATGTGCTGGTAAATGGGAAGCTAAGTAAATGGGAAACAATTATCGAATATCCGGATATCGAATATCGAATATTTGGGTTTCGATATAAAACCGAATCAGCTGATTGAGAAGCACGACTTTCTGTAACATTATTATAACTTCAATACCTGATTTTCATGTATTTGCAAAAATTTCAAGTAATTGTTTTAAAGCGTTTATGGTTAGGTTGACATTTTGTATTTCTTTAAGTTTGTGTATATATACATTAGGGTGCGATTAATTTTCGAAAATCGGAAAATTGCCCGCGGCACTCCCCAGATCGGTTCATTTTACTTTAAAAAATAATCTGTGTGAAATTTAAGTTCAATTGGATAAGTGGAAATGGTGCCCCAAGAGCCTCAAAGATTGGAAAATAACGATTTTCCATAAAATTCATCTTTGATTGCTTATATCTCCGACATATTTAATTTTACATAAAAACTGTCTTCCTAAAAGTTCTAATAGTTATTGAATAAAACAAAAAATAAGATTAAGTCACCCGATTGCTACCTTTGAAAGCACTATGAATGTAATTGTCCGCTTTTGCTTTACAAAAAATTTATTTTTTTTTTTTTTATTATTTGAAACAGATCTATCTATTAAGGATCTATTAAGGAGAATTCGTTCAAAGATTTTTGATAAAACGGGTAATAAAGAAATTGGACGATACGACGAAACTTATTAGCAGGTTTTCCTTGTTTGTGTACCATAAGTACTTCCGCCACTTTCCAATAAATTGGGAAGTGTCTTCCTAAAAGTTATAGATCTATTTAAAATAAACAATTCACTCATACAAAGTTTTTCTGCATTTCTAATAGTTATTGAATAAAACAAAAAATAAGATTAAATCACCCGATTGCTAGCTTTGAAAGCACAATGAATGTAATTGTCCGCTTCAGCTTTACAAAAAATTTAATATTTCTAAAAAATTTAAAATAAATTCAATATTTCCAAAATTTAATCTTTCTTATAATAAAAAAGTACTAATTCTAGGTTTGTCCGACATAATTTTTATTATTTTAGTTAAAGTCGCTGGAGCAAAGTATCCTTATTACAACTTGGAAAACAACGGCGGTAATCGTTATTTCAGTTCAGTTATTTTTGCGCGATCTATTGATACTCTCCTGACTTCCTTGTCATCACTATCTATATTCAAATTTGAAACCATCTTTTTCTTTGTCTCAGGTGACACATTTAAATCCAAAAAAGCAAAATGAACAAGCTTTGAGCTTAAATACCAAATTCAATTTTTTGATATTGACTGAGAATAGAAAGAAGATTAAAATCTTGAAAATGAACTTTGACTGATAATAAAGCATTAAACCATACTTCAACATACACTTTAGTAATAAATATACATATATCGCAAAGAGCATTTTCTTCTTCTGTAGATAATTTGAACTCTTTCCTAAATAAAAATATTTTTAATACATGCATGACTTTCAACATCCATCTTGCATGATGTATAGCTCCAGGAGGTCGAAACTTTATGGTACAGTTCGGCTTTTCTCCTAAAAACATTAATGCAAGTTCCAGAAGTTCCCTATAATCATCTCTTGGTTGGTTATCCTTACGAATCTTATAAAGGAAACTTGTAATTCGTAACACATCATCCATATTTAACGATTTTCTTACTTTTTCATTTTCTAAGCCGACTGTAAAGTTATTAACGTTTATTTTCGGCCAAAACTTCTGAAATCGTTGAAATAGTTCAACATTTGGGCTTTCAAACTTGTACACTTGTACTTTTAATGTAATCACTTTGAATTAAAATTCACTTCGCATTCTAATGAATAATACAGAAACTCACTTATGTATATAACTATACAAGTATTGGACTTATTTTGTAGCAAATTTAGTAGACAATTCATTCATTGAACTTACCTAAATTTAATAGGGGGATTCTAGCTTGTATTTGCTTTTATTCAATAACTATTAGAAATACAGAAAAACTTTGTATGAGTGAATTGTTTATTTTTAATAGATCTTTTAATAGATCAGTTTTTATGTAAAATTAAATATGTCGGAGATATAAGCAATCAATGAGGCTCTTGGGGCACCATTTCCACTTATCCAATTGAACTAAAATTTTACACAGATTATTTTTTTTAGTAAAATGAACCGATCTGGGGGTTGCCGTCAACCGATTTTACGAAAATAAAATTGCCCATATACCTTATACATATTCACACCAATAAAGATTAAAATAATGAAAAAATAGGAGAATAATAATAACAAATATAATTTGGCATTAAAGGATAAGTCTGTTCTTTAGTAAATAATTTAATTGCATCACTAAAAGGTTGAACTACCCCAACAAAACCAACTTTATTAGGCCCTTTACGAATTTGAATATAACCCAAAACTTTTCGTTCTAATAATGTTAAAAAAGCTAGGGTGCCTAATATACATAGAGTAATTAAATCTTATTCGGCGTGTTGAATCAATTTTCAGTTGAACACTCTTTTATATGCAAATTTAATATGTATATCAAAAAAATTTGAAGTTAAGAATGGCTGGATATTTCAATGAAATAAAATATATTGTTGTTTTTTTAATAGTGATGTTATTCTTTTACTATTTAGATATAAAAAATAAGTTATGATTACTAACTATTATTAATTCGACCATTACGAATTAAATCATCTGAATGAAATTAATACAAATATTCTTTGCTGGGATAAAATCTGAATAAAAATTATGCTCGGGCAGGGCATATGATAAATCGAAAATTATGCGGTTGTTAAGCAAAGAACATTTACTGGACATAATTGATAAATAATTTCACGTGGTAATTATATGGTTGTTATTTACTTGTAAAGAAATCAACTTACCCGCCACTTGTGCTGCTTGTGCCATAGCCATTTGATAGGAATAAAGCAATGGAGTAAATTGCATCATATGTTGTGGACCAAGACTTTGCCCCAAAGCTGTAAAATTAAAACTTTTGTTGAATTCGTTTTGCAATAAATATTTATCTTAAAATACCTCTAAATATTTGTTGTTGAAACGCTTGAACAGCTGCAGCAGTTGCAGCGGGTGACGCATTACCTAACGCACCTAAATTTGCAGCAGCTGCTGCTGCGGCTTGAGGATTAGCGGCTGCTGCACCTAAATTTGCCAAGCTTCCTAATGCTGCCAAATTACCCAGTTGACCAAGATTTCCTAAATTTCCTAAGCCCCCTAGGCCTGCAAGGTTGTTAAGTCCAGGTAAACCAAGTGCGCCTAGTTGAGCAGCAGCAGCCAGCGTTGCTGTTGAAAACTTTTCATATTGTTGCTGCTGTTGCTGTTGTTGTTGTTGTTGTTGCTGCTGCTGCTGTTGTTGTTGCTCACGTTGTTGATCTCTTTGATGATGATGTTCACGTTCCCGTTCCCGTTCACGTTCACGTTCTCGTTCTCGCTCACGTTCACGTTCACGCTCCCTCTGGTGGTGATGTTGCAATGAACTCTGTACTGGAGTGCTGGGACTTGGCTGTGATTGATGCGCTCGTGATGAACGTGGTGTTGTTGGTGGTGGTGGGGGCGGCGTAGGTTGACTTGGTGGAGGAGTCGGACGTGGTGTAATGCTTGGGGTAGGTGTTTGACACTTTGTAGGAATAACAGTTACAGACGGTGGTAAATTGACAAGAGCAGAAGGTGTAGAAATTGTATGTGAATGCGCAGACTGCGGAGTTTGCATTTGTGTGTGTTGATGAGACTGATGTGATTGCAACTGTAATGGATGCTGTTGTTGTTGTTGTTGTTGTGGCTGCGGTGTCGATGGATGTGAGGATGTATGAGAATCTACTGGAGAAGGACTACTATGAGTAGCTAGCCGCTGTTCTATTTCTTGTTCCTGTAAGTAGTGTTATTAAAAAACTGTTAAAAATTTGTTTACTTTTAAATTACCTGTTGTAGGGCCTTAACAAAGGCTTGCTTCAGTCGATTAGTATGTTCTGCCTTTAGTGCTTTCTTCACATTTGAAGTAACACATTGCTCACATATTACCTTATGTTCTTTATTAACTTTAAAAAGATTATTTAATTGGAATGAAATTTATATCGTGATATTTATTGGGTTCTTACCTGGTTTGTCCCATTTCCATACGGGAGTAAAATCAATTTTACATTGAGCACAACGAAATGGTGGAGAAACTGTGTTTGATTTTTTATTATTTATCATCAGATAATCGACAACTGTCTCCAATCCAAGTAGATAAACAAATTCTGTATTACTTGGATTTGGTACAAAATGCATTTCAGGTGGCGGAGGTTTTGGTGGAGGTATCTGCAAAATTATAGAGGATTATGTTGTGTGTAATTTTCATTTTCAATTTTAAAATTAAATTCTTTGTGTGATAGATTTTTATTTTTTTTATTTCTTCATTTCTATTAACGTGTTGTGTACGTTATTTTAATTTAATGCTACCTAATATATTCGATTACTTTAAGTAAAATTTTTGTAGCTTATATATTATATTATGTAAATACGCTAATATAGAAATGTGTGGATCCATGTGATGCTATAGGACTTACTTGCAGCAGTGTCTTTTCCAATTGCTTTCTTAAAGCTAATTTAGCCGCAGCTTGCTTCTGGGCTGGAGTTTCTTCTCGTGAAAGGGAACGCTCATTCTGAAATGTATATAATTAAAGATTATAAATACTCCTATATATTCAATTCAAATTGCTTAATTACTTACCTTCAAATCATTGTGCTGAGTATTCTGCTGAGACAATGGTGGCGCAGGAGTAATTGACACTGAATTGCTTATGCTGCCAGAAACCTTTGAATTTGAATCCGAATTATTAGTCTGCAGGGTTTATTTCAAAAAAGAATGATTATATGTAATGATGCAAGTTAATATGAGAATGATATATATGTGAATTTTTGTTAATAAAATTTGTTTTATTTGAAAACTTAAGTATTCATGCAAAATATATGTGTTAAAAAAACAATTTGTTGGTGTAATGTTGTAAGTAAGCGAATATATTCATGAATCATTATCATTATGCTATGCAAAACACAAAACGATTAATGTAATAATATGGAATATGTGTATCAAACATTATAGTGATTACGTATTAGATTAGCGAGTTTTGTGTATGTGCCAAATTTTTATAAGTTAATGCTACAGATGTAAACGTTTAACATTGCGCTTACTGCAACGATCACATTACAATAACTCACATTGCGTGGTTTGATTCCTGATGGAGGGGCGCTAGTTGGTGTTATGGTCACCGATGGTGTAATGGTGAGATTCGGTAAATTGGTACGCGGTGGTAATGCATTCGACCGATGCGATGATGTTGAAATTGAGGAACTTCCTGTAGTTAGAGTTGCACCACCAGGCAGTGATGAACGAGGTGGCGGTAATATTGTAGAATTGGAACGGTTTGCTGCCGATAACGATACCGGGGAAACGGTAGTAGATGATAAATTGCGACTATTGGAAGTGCTTTAAATAAAAATCACAATTAACTACTTTGAAAAGTTTTTAGAAATTGTATAAGTTACCTTATGCTCACTGACGATGAACGTCCTTTTGTATGCGCGGGCAATGGCACAGCCGTTGTTGGTGTAACACTTAGAGAACCTTTCGATGTTAAAGCAGCTGGTATCGCTGCAAGCGGATTTGTAGGCGATACACTTGTAGGAGTGACCACTAGATTTTCCTTCATTACCAGTTGTGATTGCTTTAGTTTTCTGAGTAACACTAATTTCGTTTCTTCATTACGCAAATCTTCACGCATCTTACGTAGTCCATTTTCACGTTCTTTTATTTCGGCCGGAGAGAGTTCCTTAATGGGTACATAAGGCGGCATCTCTTCATCATCAGTCTCTGAGTCAATGTTACCATTTTGTTGGCGACCATTCATTCGCGCTGGCAACAATACGATATCGGGTGCCTCCGCATAAGACTTCGGCTCAGTCCGTGGACGCAAAACTCGTCGTTGCACTTTGTTCTCATCTTGTATATTCGAAGAGTTCGATTCTGCGTTACTGGCTGTAATATTTGAAGAAGCGATACCTGATGTAGGATTATTAATTATAGCAGAATTCGAATTACTATTGACAAGCGGCGGTGGTGCAGGTGTAATAGTTAGACCAGAATTTTGTGATAATGCACGTAAATCACGTACCGTAGCTGGTGTGATTGTTAATGCTGGATCTCGACCGGAACCAATACTTAAATCGACGACGTCTTCGACGTCGATTTTTGCCATTTTAGCCCGTCGCGTCGTTTTGAATTATTTAATAAACCTGCAAGATCAAATAAAACAACACTAAATTTTAAAGATTTTAGAAGATTAAAAGCAATGCTCTACAAGCGAGTAAGAAGTATTTATTTCTGAAGTTTTAGACGGCTTGAACGGAACAACAATTATAAAGTAACTTAGCCTGCTTGTATTAAATTTTTTACACAAAAAGTCATTCTACCTGAGGTTATAAATTTCGCTTTTACTTTCACATTTTTTAATATTTAGCGTCTCCAAGGCAACCGCATACTTGTCAAAAATAGAAAATTTTTCTCTCTTTACAAAAAATTAAATGCACAGAAATTAAGAATAAGGTACACAATAACAACAACAATATTGATTCGTAGGGGTGAATTTAAACCGTTTTATTTATATAATAAACATTTTTGGCTTCCTTACGATGCGATTGGGGGGGGGGGGAAGAACGCCACACGACATAACCTATAACGACAATAACTACCCTTGCGTTTGAGAAGTTTAGGCGGCTCAGGCAGTAGTATCTGAGTTTTGTTGATATACGCTAGTATACGTGTTTTTTAATTGAAAGTGCAGTTGTAAACACATAAATTGAATTAAGATAAATTTGATATTGATGCTTTTGATACTGCTTCTTATATATACATATTCATTTTAATTTGACTTATTCACGTTTTTAAATGTGCAATAATAGTGTTTTTTTTATTAAGGAAATGCACTACACATAATGAGAGACTGAGAATGTATAACTCATATTGTTAAGAATGAGTATAATATGTAAAATTTGAAACAGAAATATTTATATATATTGCATATATGTATGTATACACATATATGTATGTGAATCTTAATTTAAATCTTGTAACTTGCAATGCGCATCTATGATTTTTCAGTATTGATCTAACATTTCAAAAAAAATTTTATATACAAAATTAAATCTATATACTAATTTATTATAACTTCTCTGCAGTTACAAGTTCTAAATTCTAAGTGGAAACGCACCTAAAACCGGATATTATATGCAGGTGACCTACTTTCATTATTCATGATGAAAAATAAGAAATACGCAACATAATAATTTCTTTATTTGATATATTTTTAAAATATTTAATTAGTCAACTGAGCTTTCAGAAAACTCCTTTCTATTACTCTTTATACAATAATATCTTTAATCTGATTCGGTTATGAATCTGTTAATATAATTCGAGAACTTGTGTTGATTTTATTTTGAGTACGTAAGCACATAAGAGTAAAAACTAACCTAACTTCTCAAGATAATTTATTTTGCGTTGAGGTCGTTTCTTCACTTTACAAAAACAATAAAAAAAACGAAAAATTCAACTTGAACCGAGAGAGCAACACAAAAAGGGGAACTCATACAATTGGGAACGATAAAAATCATCGGAAAGTTAAAATGAGAAAACACTAGCATATGTAAATATATACATATTATACCCACTATTATATATATAATAGATAGATAAGTATAAAAAATCGCTCTATGCAGCAAAAAATTAAAAGCGTTGATTGGAAGCATGTCGGACGGACATATACACAACGCAGATAGTCCGCAAAAGAAACAAACAAAAAATTGCCATGTGACGATCTTAGATTCTGAATTGTGAAACATATTTCTACGATCGCACCGAACGCACCGAAAGCCACAGATACATAAACATATTTATTAATTGGTATTTGTTACTTCGAAGTAGTAAGTTTCTATTTGCAGTCTCTTGTGTAGTGCACAGCCATTTAATTTCATATGGGTTGTCTGCTAGCGATCAAGACTAAAATACGCAAATGTATCTGCAACGTTAGCGGGAATTTTAACATGCTACTTGTCCATTTTACGGTACACTAACTTTCAATTACTCTTGCTCTCTCATAGAATGCGTATGTAATTATAGTCCAATTTTAATTGGTCTGATTTCATTTTACTGATCGACAGTGAATGACACAAATACACATTTTAATTCATTCGTTATTCGAAATTAAGTCAAATTTTTATTATTTTGAACAGATTTTTTATATTGTGCGAAACTACTTATAGGCCAGAAGAGAGAAGACACCACAAAAAAGAAGTTGTTTATTTTTTGTTGGTTTAATGAATGATTGTTAAGTTAACCGAGACAAATAAATATGACAGATAGCTCACTCTATAATCATAAGTAAACAATATTTATTTGAGTATAGGCAAGTTACCTATTCTAGTCCGTTGTATAATAAATTCTTCTTGCAGAATTATTTTTTAAAGCGGATTTTTACGTCAAACAGTTACACAGAAAATCAAGAGATTTTGATTATGGATGATCGCGTTTTTTTTATAGAACAGAGTATTCTTACGGCGATCAAACAGTGACACAGAAAATCAAGAAATTTTGATTATGGATGGTCGCGTTTTTTTTATAGAACAGAGCCTTGTTGTACAATGTATTTTTGTACAATGATCGTGTAAATTCTTATTTTTATATTGACGATTTTACTTAGAAATCTAATGAAATATATCAAAATTAGATTTAAATTATTACTTCTCTTCACATATAGAGCATTGTGTTTAATCTCTGCAGATTAAACGAAGATTGACCGAATTATAGCCTTTATATACATGGATAGATTATATACATTGATATTTGACACATATCGGTATTTTGTACCTTCATATTATAAGTTCACATTTGTGAAATTTATAGTGTAGCATATAAAATATGTCTTTAAATATAGTTGTAAAAGATATGTATTGTTGCGATTTAAAAAAATGTTCGAATATTTTCGTAAATTTGTTTGCTTTTTACTAAAAAATAATAAAAAAAAAAAAGCAGACTACTACAGACTCAATTAATGGACAAATATGACTGTAAGTAAATAGCGGATGTGGTAAGAAATAACTTTATGATTTTTATTTTTATTGTATTGAAAATTTGAGAAAATACCAACAAAGATGTATATACACATTGTGGCATAATTTATAATTGATTATTAAATTATTCTTCCTAAAGCTTAGCCAGTTTTAGCAATTTGTAAGATGTTTTAAAGCGACACTTAAATAGTACTTTTGACAAGTCTCACAAAAAAAAAAAAATTCAGTGGTGACAGAAGCTCAGAGTGATTTAACAAAGTTATCTGCCCTAAAGGTTTAACACTATAGGTTCTTAACTTTTTAATTGGCATAATTTCAATGAGACGCTAACCGGCCCATAGAAATTCCAAATACTTCGGCCTGTACCAATTGAAGCTAAACGATTCGATATAGATTTCTCCATGATGTGGACCTAAGTCTATCTAACACCTCTGCAGTTTATTAGGTCGCAGCAACCGAAAATGCAACTCCACATCAATTGAATATAAATGTGTGTGTGAATTTAGTCATTCTACCTTCGTATATTTGGATTTAATCACAGCCACCATAGGGAGCATCGTAAGGGAACCAACCTCTATTCAGTCGTGACAAGTCACATGATCTTATTGGCTAATTCATAGGGTGGCATCGTATTGTTAAAACCACATATTTTCCATATTCATATCTTCAATTTCACATTAAAAAAAAAATAGGTAATTTGGCTGCAATGATCTGAATGAATTTATGGTTTATGACATATACCGTCATATTCAAAAAAGAACGAACCTATCATATCTCCAGACCAATTACCAGATCATACAGTGACTTTTTGTTGATGTAGTTGTCTTTTGACAGTTACTTGTGGTTTTTTACTACCTAGAATTCTCATTAGAATTTTTGATATTTCGCAGTAGTGAAAAAATCCATATTGTAAAATGACAAACCTAAAAACTAAACAAACCATAAATTTTAAGGTTGCACCAACTCTTGGCGTTCAGTTTTGACATACATTTGGGGACTTACACTAATTATTGTCTGGAATAAGAAAAATGTCTTCCAAATTAGTTCAATAGCAAAATAAAAATCTAACAGCTAAAAACAAATAACTGCCAACGAAGCTTAACAATACTTGCGTAAACATCATCGACAAATTTAACGAAAAGAAAAGTTCATTCAACTCGCGCAACACAGGCATAGAAAAACGTTGGCAGTGGCAGTGGCAGTAGCACTGCCAGCAGCAGCACCAACAACAGCGCCAGTAATAACAAAGCAGAGCAAAGGTTTGAAAGCTACAATTTAATATATATTTTTCAGCTTTTCGGTGTTTACTGGTTTTATTTCATTTTTTATGCATTCTTGCTAAAAATATTAAAATTAAAATAAAAAAGAAATAATAATAAAGTCCTGATGTAAACATTTTTCCATTGTTAAAAGGCGCAAATGGCAAAATTCATATTTCAGAACAAAACGAAAAATTAATATTAAAAGGAAAGAAAATTTATGTAAGAAAATGGGAAATTATTTAGTCAAGATTTTATATTCATTTCTGCACTTTTTAACTTTTTTACTTCTACTCTTAATACTTGTACTTGTACTTTTACTAGTACTCGTGCGTCTGTCACCCCTTTTTTAATGTCTATATGATGTTTGTAAGTTGTACCCTCTTACACCGCTAGACTGCACTCATAATGACAAGCAGATCGTCGTCTTGTTCATGTTCACTGGGAGCTAAATACCTCAGCTCAGTGTTGCCAATTGTTTTTGCTGTTCTGTTGTTGTTGTTATTCAGTTGTTGTAACTTTGACTTCAAAAATACGTTAAATGCAAAACGTGACTTGTATGGCAAACTATTCATACATGTGTTAGGAGAGACAAACTGGGGAGATGACAGCAACGCAGTAAGTAGCAAGGGCAACAGAAAACAAATAAATACATGTATACAGTAATCAATTTATATAATTAGAATAATTAAATAAAGATTTGTTCTTATTTAATCAATAATGCATGCTTGCTCTAATAAACGTATTTTGATTATCAGAAATCAAAATAGGTCTGTGTCTATGTAAATGGTTGTTTATAAACTTATATACAGATCAGGCTTTCAGACTTTCTGCAATTTAAAACATTTTTAGGATGTTTTAAAATTTAAAACAATGATTAAAAAAAATTTTTTAAAGTATTTTCGTGAATTT